AATGTGTTAGCTTTATAAAGACTCTTCTGTTGTTTTTATTTGAACAAAGAAACACAGCTGGAATTAGACCACAGAAGAAAGGTTGATCTATATGTATAATTGGGCCAGACTCAAAAAGTTCAGATAAATATAAGGAACAAGGGCAAAAGCTTTCATATTGTCAATCCAACACACTCTGCTTCTGATTAGATTTAGCCCCAAATCTCCAAACCTTCTGTTCGAGCTTAAAACATGGCTATTTACACAGGCCTTTGACCTGGAGTAATGTACTATGGTCATGTGATGATGTCGACCACTGTTATTCAACACTTCAGTTCATGTTTGAAGAAACCCAAAGACACATAGGTATGACTGTGTCTTAGAATTTTATTTTAATTTTATTGATTGACATTGTATATTGTTTGTATTCAGTTGAATTGTGTATTATTTTCATGATATGTAATTCTATTTTATGTTTGACACCTTGAGTACTTTAGTAGCCGTCCTGAATACAATTAAAGCATTATTATTATTATTATTATTATTATTATTATTCTCCCCTGCTCTCTATTAACATTAACTATACTTAAACAGCCACTTACAGAGCCACTGCATATTTCTTCAAATGGTGATAACACAAGGGGGATTTTACAGCATCTAGATATATTTTAAATTAGCATATATACCTGGTATTTCTTGAATGTAGTTGGGACCACTGCCCACCTACTTTCTCCCTTCTCCAGCTCTGAGAGGGCCTACCTCACAATACCTCCATGGCAATAATGGGCAAGTTTTCACTGTGGTCATCAAAGCAGATAGTCCACATTATCTGCTTTGAACTGGATTATCTGAGTCTACACTGCTATATAATCCAGTTCAAAACAGATAATCTGGATTTTATATGGCAGTGTAGAAGGGGGTAGAGTCCCATTAGAACCATTAAGAAAGACATTTGGAATGCCCAGGGCCCACTCAGCAGAGTGATCAGAAAAGCTCCTAAACACAAAGCTAGGCTTGATAAGCCACATTTTAATGTGAAACAATACATGTTACGATCTCAAGCAAGTTCCTCCCTCTGTGTCCCACCCGTGACTATTAGGTCCAAAGTCTAAATCACCTAATTGGATCATCTAGAGTCTGAAATTTGGTTTGAAACATAACACTGCCCTTGCTGAGCAAATGTATATTATGAGATTTGGGTTCAACATGCATCGTTTTCTCATATCAAACTTTATATACTCTCACAATGTTTTAATCTCTTTTTTTTAAGTGGTACTTTGCTGATGTCAGAGCAGCTGCATTTTACTGCTTGTTACAACTCCTTTACAGCTAACTGCCTGCTATAATCTCTTAAACCCTTGCAATATGAGATGAAATTTAGGCCTAACATATGTATGTGCCACAACAGCTTACAATAGTGCTACTCAATGTGCTGGTCCACAGCCCATTAGCTTCTGGATTGTGCTGTGTATCCAGAAAAGAAACAAAAAGCTGAAATCGAAGCAATAAATATGCCAGTCCCTGGAACACACAGGAGAAAAATCCTACCTGGGTTGTTGTAGGTCTTTCGGGCTGCATAGCCATGTTCTAGAAATATTTTCTCCTGGCATTTCACCTGCATCTATGGCAGGCATCCTCAGAGGTTGTGAGACTTCTAGAACATGGCCATACAGCCCAAAAGACCTACAACAATCCAGTGATTCTGGCCATGAAAGCCTTCAACAATACAAAATCCTACCTGTCTCCTACCTGTAATTAATATATCTGTGGAATGACCAGGGTGGGACAAAGAACTCTTGTCTGTTGGAGCTAGGTGTGAATGTGGCAGTTTTTTTGGCGTGGTTTGTTAGTGCCTGGGGGAATCTTTTGTTGAGAGATGATTAGCTGTCCCTGAATGTTTCCTCTCTGTTGTATTGCTCTTGCAATTTTAGAGGTTTTTTTTAATGCTGGTAGCCATATTTTGTTCATTTTCATCTGGCTACCAGCATTAAAAATAACTCTAAAACTACAACAGCAAAACGACGGAGAGGAAACAATCAGGGATAGCTAATCACTTCTCAACAAAAGATTCCCCCAGGCACTAACAAGTCACACCAAAAAACTGCCAGGCCATCAAATGCTAATCAAGGTGGTCAGTTGAAACATTCACACCTAACTAACTCCAACAGACAAGAGTTCTTTGTCCCACCCTGGTCATTCCACAGATATATAAACCCAATTTTCCTAGTTCCAACAGACCTCACTACCTCTGAGGATGCTTGCCATAGATGCAGGCGAAATGTCAGGAGAGAATGCCTCTAGAACATGACCATATAGCCATGAAAGCCTTTGACAATACAGTAAAGGCTTTCCTGTGACATTAAGTCTAGTCGGGTCTGACTCTGGGGGTTGGTGCTCATTTCCATTTCTTAGTCGAAGAGCCGGCATTGTCCGTAGATGCCTCCAAAGTTCATGTGGACGGCATGACTACATGGAGTGCTGTTACCTTCCCGATGGAGCGGCACTTATTGATCTATTCACATTTGCATGTTTTTGTGCTGGGTTGGCAGAAGCTGGGGCTAACAGCGGGAGCTCACCCTGCTCCCTGGATTCGAAATGCAGCTCAGCGGTTTAACCCACTGCACCAAGGGGGGGGGGGCTCCCAGTATCACCTCTAGTAAATAGATTTTATAGATATCTCTGTGTGTCTTTATGTTTCCTCTTTCAAAATCCTGAAAAACCTGTTTGGTCAGGGGGTAAAATGGAACTACATGGACACTGACTATGGAAAATGAAGCTGTTCAGCTTATTTCTTAAAAAATGTCCATCTTCCAGCCTCACAACTCAATTAGACATTATGTCTGTGAGCAAAAAAAAAAAAAAACTGTAACTGGGAGCATGCAGGGGCCTTTTGCTGAACTAAACAATTAACCACATTGAAGGGATGGCAGTGCAAGCAGAGCTGCCTGAAATTCAAGCCAGTGGATGGAGTTGGCATACAAAATCTACTGCTTGGGGCTTGGAAAACAAGACTGGAAATCGAATTGTTCCTGCAGGCTTTACGTTTCCCTATTTAGCCTAATGCTCCAGCCCTGATACAGATACGTTCTCTGAGATTTGATCCTAAAAAATGAAGCCTTGGTTTACAACTGGGCTGGGTGGGGGGAGAGCACACATATGAGAGCCAAAGCGAGAGGACGCAAAGCTCTGCTATTAAGTTATTAATGTTACGGGAGGCCTGAACTGAAACATGTGCTTCAAGAACAAGCTGGGACATGCTTCTGAAATCACTTGAGGGTTTAGCTTAGCGGTTACACTGTCAGCAGCAGACAGCTGCAAAATGGGATTCTTAGGACTCCAGAGCCTGCATATAGTGGGGGAAATGTTGGGAGGGTGGAGTAGAATGCAAGCAATTGGGGCCTGAAACAAATAGGAATGGGGAGGGTGGAGAAGGACTTGTTTGCCTCCCCTTTCCTCTTTTCTTGTCCTCGAGGGAGCTATCCACAGGGCTGTGTGCAAAACTGTAGGTTTGTGGTTTGGTAAATGGATTTCACTATCCAGGGAAAAAAAAATATATGAACCCTACATCATTATAGAGGATATAAAAATGTACTGCCTTTGTTTGTCTTGTATGCTTTCCTATGCTCCTAGTACAGTGGTTCTCAACCTTCTCAATGCCGTGACCCCCCCAACCATAACATTATTTTTGTTGCTACTTCGTAACTGTAATTTTGTTACCGTTATTAATCGCAATATAAATATCTAGTATGCAGGATATATTTTCATTCACTGGACCAAATCTGGCACAAATTTGAATACTGGTGAGATTAGGGGGGATTTGTTTTGTCATTTGGGAGTTGTAGTTGCTGGGATTTATGGTTAACCTACAATCAAAGAGCATTCTGAACTCCACCAGTGATGGAATTGAACTAAATTTGGCACACAGAACTCCCATGACCAACCGAAAATACTGCAAGGGTTTGGTGGACATTGACCTTGTGTTTTGGAGTTGTAGTTCACCCAAATCTAGAGAGCACTGTGGACTCAAAAAAATGATGGCTCTGGACCAAACCTGGCACAAATAGTCAATATGCGAACCAAATGTGAACACTGGTGGAGTTTAGGGAAAATAGACCTTGACATTTGGAAGTTGTAGTTGCTGGGATTTATAGTTCACCTACAAAAAGAGCATTCTGAACTCCACCAGTGATGGGATTGAACCAAACTTGGCACACAGAACTCCCATGACCAACCAAAAATACTGCAAGGGTTTGGTGGACCTTGTGTTTTGGAGTTGTAGTTCACCCAAATCCAGAGAACACTGTGGACTCAAACAATGATGGATCTGGACCAAACTTGGCACAAATACTCAATCTGCCCAAATGGGAACACTTTTGGAGATTAAGGAAAATAGACCTTGACATTTGGGTGTTGTAGTTGCTGGGATTTATAGTTCACTTACACTCAAAGAGCATTTTGAACCCTACCAATGATAGAATTGGGACAAATTTCCCACACAGAACCCCCATGACCATTAGAAAATACTGTATTTTCGAATGGTCTTTGGCAAACCCCCTGACACCCCCTTGTGATCCCCTAAAGGTTTCCAACCCCCAGGTTGAGAAACGTTGTCCTATTAGCTATGGGTAAGCTTTGCAGAGCACTAAGGTGGCTGACAACAGACCTCACAACCTCTGAGGATGTTTGCCGTAGATGCAGGTGAAATGTCAGGAGAGAATGCTTCTAGAACATGGCCATATAGCCCAAAAAACCTACAACAACCGAGTGATTCCAGCCATGAAAGCCTTCAACAATGGAGGTCCTGTTCATTTTCCTCTCTGGCTTCCCAGATGCCATTGTTTCAAACTTACCTTCACAGCCACACAGGGTTTGAAACTCACCATTTTATGAAAAAAAGAGAGCAAATCCAATAGTTTTCAAGATGCTGACTTCAAGAGTCAAATACAAGCATCTCTGTGCAAAATGTGGAATGCTCACACAGCCCTGGAGTGCCAGTGAAAAGGCCTCACTCTTTTCATTACCTTCTCAGGGACAATGGGTGGGGAGGACAGCGTGAGACTGGTGGGTGATTCTGAATGCTTCTTGTGCTTCTGTTTGGGCCGTTCCTTGTCTTTCCGGCTCTGCAAAACAAAAGAAGACCAAGAAGGTTTTCCTCCTTTCCAAAATGGGTAAGAAAGTGTAAGGTAGAAATGCTGGACTGCAACTCCTAGCATTCATCACCACTGGTTATGCTGACTAGGGCTGAACTGTAGTTTAGCAGCACTTGAAAGTGCTATCAAATTACATATTGCTCAGAAGCTCCTGTGAAGGTGAAAAATGCAAATATAAAAACTGGTCCTCTTTTACCCAAAAGATAACCTCTAGAAATTTCTAAGTCTTCCAGTGTGACTTTATGGTCAACTTCTGGTAGTTTTAGAATTGCATAGGAGTACCTAGAAAAATGTTCTTTTGATAAATCTTCAGGTCTTACAACAAGACTGCAGAGAGGCATGCAGAAGGACCTAGAGATCCCTAGGCCCCATCTACAATGCCATATAATGCAATCTGAAACTGTCTTATATAGTCAGTGTAGTCTCATACAACGCAGCCCAGTGAAGTTAAACTGCATTATATGAACCCTCACTGACCATATAATACAATTTGAAATAATAATAATAATAATAATAATAATAATAATAATAATAATAATAATCTTTATTTATAGATCACCCTCTCTCCCTGAAGGGACTCAGGGTAATTCACAAGAAAATAAAAATGGCAAACATTGAATACCAAAAACAAATAAACAAGGCAAAATATATAATAAATAGACTCAATAAATGTATAAGGTAAAGGTAAAGGTTTCCCCTGACATTAAAGTCGTGTCCGACTTTGGAGAGTGGTGCTCATCTCCATTTCTAAGCCAAAGAGCCGGCGATGTTCATAGACAACTCTAAGGTTATGTGGCCAGCATGACTACATGGAGTGCTGTTACCTTTCCACAGAAGTGGTACCTATTGATCTACTTACATTTGCGTGTTTACAAATTGCTAGGTTGGCAGAAGCTGGAGTTAACAGCAGGAGCTTACCCCGCTCCCTGGATTCGAACCGCCGACCTTCCGGTCAGCAAGTTCAGCAACTCAGTGGTTTAACCTGCGGCATCACTGGGGGCCCACTTATAAACAGCCATTATATGGCAGTGTAGATAGAGCCCTCGAGAAAATATGCATGGATAATAAAATCCACAAAAGTCAGAAACGCAAATGGAGAGGAAAGACTGCACTTTGCTTGCCGTCAAATAGGGATTTTGCTGCAGGGTAGAGCAAAATGAGACATGCTCCGCAAATATGAAAACCGTCCTCTCCTCATGAAATTTTCCTTCCGTTCCCAGAATTTTATTCTTGCAGTCACATAAACCTGCGGCTGAACATTAGAAATACAGCTTAGGGTTTCAACGAAAAGTGGCAGGCAGTTACCAAGAGAATACAAATGCATAAAATATAAGGGTTTGAGATGTGAATAATTTTCATTATCTCACTCTTTGCCTTGCTAGAAATTGGGGAATGAAGAACAAAATCATGAAGGTGGAATGCATGTTTGTTGGGGCAACGTCTCCTGCAGCTACATCCCCTGCCCCAAACAAAAGACACATGAGACAAGAATGGAGGTCAAAAGTATGCTTTCTCAGAAACCATACATTCCCTCAGCAACTACTCAGCCTCCTGGAAAGCAGCTGGCTGGAGTTTCTCTCCTCCAGCTGCAAGCAACATCTGGCACACAGAACGCTGACAGAAGAGGACTCCAAATCCATATCAGGTTCAGATAAAGATTAACGAGAAATGTATGTTATAACAAGCAAGAAATGCAGGCCCTCAGGCTATTCCATAATAATTCCTTCTTCTCCCAGACCAGATTAATTTTTACCTGTCTATTTGCTCAAAACAACAAAATGAAACATAACATAACAAAGCAACATTAAACTTCAAACCAAGTCTGGGGGCCTTTTTGGTGCCTGCAGATTTCAGTATTACAACCCCGAGTAAATTAACTGAATACACAGATCTACATAGATCTGTTTGTTTTGGAGGAGGGAAGAGCAAGGAATGTTTAAAGCCCTATCCTTTGAACCACGGGAAAACTTCGTCACCAATCATGGTCTGCACATGTTTGCTTCCGTAAGTAGTGAAATGTGCCTTTTCTTTTCTAATTAATTCAACAACATGTTGACAATTGGTACAAAATTCCACCCATGTGCAGTGATGATTTCAAAAGCATAAAGCCCACCCTCCTATTTCTTTCCTAGCCAAGAAGCTGCCAAGAACAGATTAGATCACTCCTGCCAGAGGGCTGAAGTGAGCCTTTGAAAGAAGGAGTTTGAAACTAGGCCACCCTGGCCATAAATATTCTCAAAAGTCACCACTGTGTCTAGGACGCAGTGGTTCCAAACATGTTTGCAGCTGTGTTACCCACCTGTGGTTCATATGCAGTGTCTACTATCTAACCATTACTGGACTGCAGTAATCTATTAGGGATACCAAAGTGCTTGTTCATAAAGCTATTATCCTCCCAACCCTGCTATGCGAGACATGGATTATCTACAGACGTCACATGCAACTCCTAGAACGATTCCATCAGTGTCGCCTCTGAAAAATCCTGCAAATCTATTGGGAAGACAAGCGGAGAAATGTCACCGTGCTGGAGGAAGCAAAGACCACCAACATTGAAGTGATGGTCCTCCGCCATTAATTCCACTGGACCGGCCACATTTTCTAGATGCCCGACCACCGTCTCCCAAAGCAATTGCTCTCCTCCGAACTCAAGAATGGAAAACAGAATGTTGGTGGGCAGAAAAAGAGATTTAAAGATGGGTTCGAATCCAACCTTAAAAACTCTGGCATAGACATTGAGAACTGGGAAGCCCTGACCCTTGAGCGCTCCAGCTGGAGGTCAGCTGTAACCAGCAGTGCTGTAGAATTTGAAACAGCATGAATGGAGGGTGAAAGAGAGAAACGTGCCAAGAGGAAGGTGCATCAAACCAACCCTGACTGGGACTGCCTTCCACCTGGAAACCAATGCCCTCACAGCAGGAGAACATGCAGATCAAGAATAGGGCTCCACAGTCACCTACGGATCCACCGTCAGTATACCAATCTTGGAAGATAATCCTACTCAGACAACGAGGGACCACCTAAGTAAGTAAGTAAGCAGACAAAATGAAGGATATATACATTGATCATTGCTTGATCATAAGTTTTGGCACAGTTATTAGGAGCAATGTGACCCTTAATTACATTAATCTATATTAGGATTTTTTCCTGTGTCAGGAGTGACTTGAGGAACTGCAAGTCACTTCTGGTGTGAATTGGCTGTCTGCAAGGACGTTGCTCTCAGGATGCCTGGATCTTTTGATGTTTAACCATCCTTGTGGGAGGCTACTCTCATGTCCCCAAATCGGGAGCTAGAGCTGACAGAGGGAGCTCATCCATGCTCTCCCCGGATTTGAATCTCCAACCTGTCAGTCTTCAGTCCTGTCAGCACAAGGGTTTAACCCACTGTGCTACCCTGGACTCTTTATTAGAAGGTGGAGGGTTATCCGAAACATGATGGCTGCTTGTTAGAATCGCTCCTCTTAATATCACAAATTAATTAATCCTCTCTCTTCAGAAAGTCAACATTCAAGCTAGCAAACATTCCTTTGGAACACTTTGGTTCCAAAAATGCCTCTTTCGGAGCACAATCTAATCCTTTAAAAGGAGGCATGAACACGTCTGATGAACATCAGATTATAGGTAAAAGGCCTCCCAAGGAACACTGCCAAGGATAGCAATCCAATGAATGCGGTACTAACCCAACGGAAAACCCTGCATTCTGAAAGGAAAGAAACCGACATGCTCCTAGATGAAATTTCAGAGAAACTAAGTGACATTGCAGACACTGCAAGTCAAGCCATGGACTTAAGCTTAAGACAACAGAAAGGTATTAAGACCCTTGCCTCCTGTCTAATAAAGTTTCCAAGTTTTTGGAAAGTAAATCCAAATGGAAAAAATACTCATATAAGAGGGATTGGAAAAGACAAACCAGCTTCTGAAATAATTCCAATATCATTATAAATTATTACTGGCTTCTTTCCCAATTCCCGCTTCCCAAAAGGCCACATTCTTATTACTTATAGAGCGCCCCAGACATATGCAAAAGTGGGACAAATCCTTAGAGAACGTATAGTGCAATTTAGCGGGAAAGAAAACAGAGATAGCATTTTAGCAGCCACACAGGGGTTAACCCTTTCAGTTTAAAATAAAATTTGATCACAATCTATCCTTTCATGCTTTATGACATATGAAAATTTCCAGCCTTTTACAAAAACCTTAAGGGAAAATGAGATCCACTAAAACTTGAGTCATTTGACTAAGCTCATAATCAAACAGGAAAAGCTAAAGCCAGTTTATGTTATTCGGCATCATGGCCTCAAGAAGGAGCCCTCAGTGGCACAATGGGTTAAACCCTTGTGCCGGCAGGACTGCTGACCGAAAGATCGGCAGTTTGAATCTGGGGAGTGGGGTGAGCTTCCATCTGTCAGCTCCAGCTTCCCATGCGGGGACACGAGAGAAGCCTGCTACAGGATGGCAAAACATCTGGGTAACATCTTGCAGACGGCCAATTCTCTCACACCAAAAGCGACTTGCAGTTTCTCAAGTTGCTCCTGACACAAAAAAAAAAAAAGCCTCAAGTAGATTAACAGGCAGACTTGGATGACACCCTGGAGTTTTTTTGAGACCGTCTCCCTCAATTAGTCAAAACCTCACATATAAAAAGAAAATTCTCCAAGAATAAACCTTGGCATAAAGTGAAGCAGAAATAATTAAGACCTCTTTGCGCTCACTGAAACTTGTTTTGAATGCAACCTCAATATTGGCTGAAACTCTAGAAATTTATTGAAGGTGATTTGAGGAAGTATCACCAAATCTTTCAAGTCCTTGTGGACTGAGAAGAAAAAGGGGAGGTGATGCAGTCTAATGTGGACCTCTACTTCATACCACTGTCCACTTTAGTCCCAGGAGTTATGGAAGACACCAACATTGTTGGTGCCTTTTCGATCAGAGGCCCCAGCTGGAGAATCTCTGGATGAAAATAATGAATGATA